TACACATACACACATACACACACACACACACACACACACACACACACACACATACACATACACACTGAGGGTGAGCTTAGAGAAAGGCTGGGTGGGTTGGGAAGCTTTTAGATGTGGGGAATACCAGTGTGGGAAGGAGTAAATGACCAGACTGAAGGTAGGAGTTTGGAAACATTCTACAGGGAACTCAGTCTCCATAGGGGGACTGCTTGATGGTTTTGATCCCCACCTCATGCCTGCATTTGTAGCATTTACAATCGCCTCCCCATCTAAATTCTGGGTTGGTTTCCGGAGTTTTTAGAGTGTATATCCCGTAAAACCACAATGACGGCTGTAGGCCAGTTGCTTTCTGTGGATAGTGGTTCACAGATGGAAGGGGTGGCTCTCTCCAGCTGAGCGGGAGCCCTCAGGGTGCTGGCCTGAAGGAAGATTGCAGAATTTACATCCATGGACTTTTAGGTAGCTAAGAAGGTATGTAATCCTGTAAGTCTAGAGAGCAGGTGACAGACCGTCCATCGTAAGATTTAGTAAGGAATTACAAATAATACTAGAGGTGGGAAACTGTGAAAAACAGTAATAGTGACACTGCAGGGCATCACGGGGACGCCAACACTGGGACATAACGATAGCTCAGAGCCTCGTGTGCTGGGCGGCGGCAGGTCTCCGTCCTCCCTCGGATGGAGGGCTAATGTGGTGTGGTTGTGTGCTCTGTGTTTGCCTTTGACCGGGACAGGCGGGCTTTGGGGATGAAGGTAAGGAACTGTGCATCACTTACAATGTCTTCTTTGGTGCCCAGAACTCCACCTACAGCGGTGACGGCAGATCCTCTACTGTGTCCTCGTCCAGAGAGGAGAAGTTGGTTCGTTTCCATTTAAATCTTTCACATCCTCTCTCCAGAAACGACAGGTTCTGTAGCATGCAACCTCGTGTGTGTGAATTCTGCTCTTTTTTCTTTTAACATCTTCTTTACAGATTTTCATTTGGGTGGATTGTAAAGTCGGTTGTTGAGCAGTAATTAGTATGATATGTTTAATTCAGATGAATTGTGCTGGTCAGCTGGGTACAATGAAAGGAAGTATTTATGTGGCTGTTCGGTCGTTAGAATTAATCAGAAGGAAACAAAAAATAAGAAAGCTTGAACGTCTCTCCTCGAAAGTCCCCAGAAACAGAATTAGTGTTAGGGTGCATGCAAACTTGGTGGCAAGAAAATCAAATCCAAATCCACAAGTCTACACAGCAGAGTGCCTTCCCACAGATGTGCATCCGTTTTGATAGGCAAATAGTCCTCAATAGTTTAAGGGCCCTGGGAGGTGAGGCTTGCTTGTCCTGAGTCAAGTTCGTGTTCACAGCAAACACAGAGCTCGTGTAGGAAGGAGGATCACAAATGTTAGCGTTTACGTCTGGAACAGAAGACAGGCCCACCTGCCCGATACACCTGTGCAGCAGGTGACGGGGAGAAACTCATTTTGCCAGGAAGTGTCATAACTAAGAAGTGTGCTCACCTTAAGGTGTAAACGGGGGGCGGGGGGGGGGGCGGCGAGATAGAATGAATAAGCGGAAAGTAACCAGGTAGAGCCACAGGAGTCTGTCTCCTCGCCTCTGTCATGCCTGGTTCCCTCCTGCTTCCTGCTTTTGCCTCTGTGGGAGGGGGAGGGGAGCAGACATTGCTGGCAGCCCCATCACTTGCTCACTCACTTTCCAAACGCCCACCACTGCCTCCCAGCCCCTGTAGTAATCAACACTCCAGCCTCACTCGGAGCCTCTGTACCTTTCTTCCCCCAAGAGTTTTGAGTGAGCTGTAAACAGCAAAATATGGGTGGGTTTTAACACCTTATTGAGTGTTAAACTATTGATGGGGTTTAACACTTTAAGAGTTTTGTGGGTATTATGTGCATTTTCTTAACTCCGGGGAATTTTTGCTATTACAAAGAGCACTTTGTCCTTCAGAAAACTTCCTGCTCACTCTCCAAGCGGAGATGCTTGCTCTCAAATAGAAGATGGTGGTAGACACCCAGTGCCCACCAGTGAATTATTCACCACAGTTCAGCATGTGTCTGACTCATTTACATTCATATAAGAGAAGTAACCACACCCCCGGGGGGAAGTCACAATGAGAGCTGGCCATTTGGAAGCATAAGGCTCGTCGGCACTTCCCTGGGGCATGTGTCCCACCATCACGCTGCCCGACACCTGTCACTCACCCGCCCTCAGCATCTCCCTGTTGCTGGGCTTTTGAATTTTACTTAAATCTAATAACAGGAAGCTATCAGTGCAGTATGTAGCACTGAAGACTTCTCTAAGGAACATCTCCCGCTGTTCACGTCGGAGCAAACCCCGCACTGGACCGTGCAGTGTCCGGAGGCGCTTTCTCCCACATGGCGACGTGGGCCCCTGTGCTTTCAGCCCTGGAACAAGTCTCACCATTTGCGCTAAATATATTAGGCTGTTTCTCCCTGTCTAGCCCAGAATTCCACTTGCCTGCTCAGGTCATTTTGGTACCACTTATTAAAGGTGTAGGGGGGCAGGCACAAGTTATGGGCCTCAAAGGGGTGGCGGGCATCTTAAGGTGCCACCCAGCTACCTGAACGGAACCACTCCACCTTCAAGGGCAGCCCTGTTCTTGTCTGGTTGGAGCACAGAAACGGAGCAAAGAACTTCCTCTCCCAGGGTCCTTTCGTTTGGGTAAAATATTTTATTTGGGGAAATTATTAATTTATAGAGTAGTATCCCCCAGCAATAACCTCTAGACCAGTGGCTCTCAACCTTGCTAATGCCGCGACCCTTTAATACAGTTCCTCATGTTGTGGTGACCCCCAATTTCATTGTTACAAATTGAACATAATTAAAGCATAGTGATTAATCACAAAAACAATATGTAATTATATATGTGTTTTCTGATGGTCTTAGGCGACCCCTATGAAAGGGTCGTTTGACCCCCAAAGGGGTCGTGACCCACAGGTTGAGAACCACTGCTCTAGACCCTTGGTCTCAGAATTACAGCGCTGACTTGGCCATGTCTGTGGTGAGTTGTGGACACCTGCTTTGTGCGAATACCCAGGAGGCCACGCCAAAGACCATTTCCAATGAAATGTTCCGCTACAGAAAACAAAAGTTGATATCTCCGCAAATTCTTGGTTTTGAGCTTTTTCCCACCAAACTTTAAAAATCAGAACTCCAATTACAAAGACATTCAACGCCCCCATGGTCTTGCTGCCGATGAAAATAGTGAAATCTGGTTTTGCCTGTGTGCAGATTCGGAAGTCCTGGTCTGGTCCCCACCGTAGTTCGTCAGTTAACGGGACCATCTTTATTTCCTTCTGATCGTCCTTCTGTCTCCCACCCCCGGTAGTGCATGCCCGTTACCGATTTGGTTGTAAAAGGTGGTTTTGTGTGAGTGTACAATGCGGTGTGCCTTGGAGATGAAACGAAGCCGCAGCCTCGTCCCCTCCGCTGTGTTCTCTGATTGCAGGGGCCGTCCTGCTCTGACCTCGGCCTTCCCCGCGGTGGCCTTGCGCCCCAAGTCCTGTTCGCCCAGAGTGGAAGCCGGGTCTGTCTCCCCTTCTCATGTCCCTGCTTCCTCCTCCTCCTTCCCTGTGTGTCATCCACGGCTGAGTAAATGTGTGGACACTCACCCTCTCCCACATGAACTCCCAGGAGCAGAGCCCAGCAGTGGTTTTCATTCACTGACTTGCTAAGACTTTTCTCAACTGTTGAAAGCATTATCGCACATAACTTCAGACCTTATATAGAAAAGGGGGATTTAGGAAGAAGGAGGCTCTAGCGAATGGGTCTTTTCAAAAGCTCGGGGCCCCCAAATTGGTCTCTTGGGTCCTTCCTCCTCTTCCAGCAATTGTTCCCCATTTGGGGTTTCATTTGTTTTCTTAAAAAATATTTTTCTCTGGTTGCTGTGTCCAGGAAGCAATTTGGAAGGCTTTGGGGCATGATCGGCCTCCTCCGTCTCTGAGGAGGGGGGACAGCCCTGTTTCTTTGGCTCACGCTCCCCTGGCTTCCTGTTTGCACGGGCCCGCCTGCAGGTCAGCGGGTGCTGGGCCTGTGAGCTGCAGGGAGGCCCTGTGGCTCTCACACCAGGAGGCCCTGTCAGAGCTCCAAGTAGGGGCCCAGTCATGGAGGCTGCATTGTCCTCTCCTTGTATTGTCCTGTCCCCCACGTCGCTGAGTGACTCATCCCTGGTCATGCACATTCCAGGACTGGCCCGGTGGCCCTGTGCTGCCGGCTTTCCATGGCCTGTGCCTGGAAATGAGTCACGATGCTATTCTGGGGCTCAGTCTGCGGCCACACCAGCCTTCACGTCCCAGCACACCCTGCAGGGCTCTGGCTGGCCAGCAGCCGCAGGCCGACAGCTCCTTGTGTGTCGTGAAGGCTGCTCCCGGCACCCTCTGCTAGAAATAAGTGCACTGCCGCTCCCTCTCCCTGCGTGGACGTGTGTGGATTAACACTCCTCCGTGCTTTCTTAACCTGGGGTTTGACTGCGGGTTTGGTTGCTCTCGTGGGTGTTGTTTACCTTGTCACCATTCTGCCTCATCCCCTCACACCTTCTTCCAGGAATACCTGGAAAGAAATGACGAGAAAATAGTCATATTTCAAAGATGCTGGGGAAGTATAGTGTTTTAAAGTTAACAATCATCTTGCATTTCTCTTCCCTGTAAACTTGCGTTTGTATCTATCAAATACACTGAAAACATCGACTTCTTCTAACTGTTGCACAACACTTTGGCTGCCATGCTAACCGAAAGTATCTGATTACCTGGCTTGGGATGCGTTGCCCTTTTTGTCAAGACTTTTAAAACCTGCCGTTTACTTCCATCCTCCAGCCCTCCTGTCTGTACAGCGCTGCCCGGCCAGCGGGGAGTTCCCGGGTGCGTGTGCTCGCCCCCCCTCCAGGCCCCTCTGCCCGCCCCGTCGTGCCCCCACTGCGCGTGCACGCCCCACCCCGCACACCTGCATCTGTCAGCAGCCCCGCTGGGATGACCTGCCGGTGACGCGGCGCTCACACCTGCATGGTGTCTGTCACCTTTGGCCAGATCTGGGTTCTATTCTCCCCACAGCCGACAGTAACTGTCACCGGCTTCCGTCCCCAGGAAGGCAGTGTTTGTCTAGCCTTGCTGGGCAGGAATGGAGCAAGGCAGCATTTACTCAATTCATTGGCAGAAAGAAAGGCGGTTTTTTATTGCTTTGGTGTAACATTAACCGGTATTAATCCATTGTGTGCTGTATTTCCTTGGAAATTTCCAGTTTTAAATACAAGGTACTTATGTGAGTGGGAAACTTAAATATTCAAAGTGGCTATGCTGAGTGGTTAATAACTTTCTGAATCTCCACCAGATTGCACACTTGTGAGTTAGACACGTCACTGGCTGAGCAAACCAGCTGTGTCAGGGGAAACGGGAAGTGGGAGGGCCTTTGAGCTGGGCAAAGGCCGACATGGCCATTCACGGTGTTGTAAACTCCTGTTACCCTCGATGTTTCATCACATGGGATTTTCATGTTAATCCGATATTCTGTTTTCTAGTTCACACATTTTAAATAATTATAAAAATCAAACTGCAAGTAATGCCCTATTTTGTTCCAAAGCCACTTCATATTAGAGTCATTTTCTAAACGCCGGGTACAAGGATGCCGTGACGAAAGTCAGGATATTTGAATGATCTGCTCAGCTAAATCTGGGCCAACAGGTTTTCACTCAGCGAGGTGCCTTTTTCAGAGCCATAGATTGAAAGAACCTACTGGTGTCAGCAACAGCTAAACGTCTCTGCCTTGGGTTTTGCACATCCCTGCCCTGCTCCCCAGCACTTGCCCTGCCTGGGACGGTAGCTTTGAGCCCTCCCTGCATGCCTTCCCTCTCGGTGTCTTTCAGGACGCGCTCCCGGCAGGTGCCGGTCTGCCTCGGCTTGTGTTGCGGAGCTTTCTGGGTGCCGGGAGAGAGGCAGGCGCCCTGTCCTGACAGTCTGTTTTCCACAGGCGTCTGTGTTCGGGGACGGCAGTCTCGGTGGGCCTCGGCGGGGAAGCGCCTCCGGTTCCTATGCTGTAAGGCGCTGTCTGTGCTCCCAGAGCTTCCTCCCGTCTGCTGCATGGCCTGCCGGCACCGTTCCAGCCCCGGGGACAACGGGCCGAGGTCACAGGGAGGAAGGACTGTCTCGTCCTAATTTCCCACGTACGAAGGGGCATGGATGATGGGAATCACGAAGCCTGTGGGCGTTAGTTCCGTGTCCTCACTCATTGCAGTCACAGGGAGGAGACTGACCCGGACTGAGCTTCATCAGCTCCTTCCCTGCCACAGGCCGACAGTACGTAAGTAGTGAAGGGGTTGGTCTTAGGAGGAGGAAAAGGAGACCCAGACAGGCCACCCGTTATCTCCACCTCTGGATCATCGAGGACGATGAACACATTCAAAGACTCAGAACATTACACGTCTGCCATTTCCTCAGTTTATTTTGCCTTCCCCCCACTTCAAAGGATTGGAAATGGTATTTCAGTAAAGGTGTGGTAGTTGCACATGAAATACTTGTTGAATGAAAAAACTGGGTGAGTGAATGAGTGGGTGATGGAGGTGAGCAAATAGAGAAATGAACAGTCAGTCCAGGGAAGCGAGGGAGCTAATGAGCCCCTCCCACGGACCAGTGGCAACGGAGCATCAGCCCTAACCAGCCCTCCCCATGGTCAGCAGTTCTGCATCCCAGGGCACCCCCACAAAGTCCCATAAAAATGCACCATGCCCCATGGGCAATAAAATGGCTTCCTAAGAAATACCCACAAGTCCCATAAAAATGCACCACGCCCCACGGGCAATAAAATGGTTTCCTAAGAAATACTTGAAAGTGTTTTTTTAATTTTGCTTTCCAAAATGATTGGCTACTTCATAAATTAGTTACATAATCCAATTTTATGATTTTTTCTATTTCTCCAATCATCATGAATATTCAGAGATTCTTACAAAGTAACCAGTAACACCTACAGTTTTCTTTTAGAATGTGATTTTCATGAATATTATATCTAATAATTAACTAACATCGCATTAGTTTTCGTTGACATCTAATTAGACATTTACCAATTTTATGTTGCATAACATCTTTTATGTGGTGGAGCCCGCTTTTCCCAGTTCTCAGGTATTTGTGTAGGCCAGTACAAAGTTCATAAAGCTCATGGGTGAAATAGCTTTAGGTCATATGTGATGGATAAGTGCCACTAAATGACTTTCTTTTATCAGAAGAGACAGCATACTCATTCTTTAAGAGAATGAGACTTCCCCAAGAACTAAGGTTCCTGTGGCCCAAGTAGAACTTCTGGTGTCGGGTGGGACGTGTGCCGTAGATTCTCTTTAAATGCCGCCTCTGTCGCTGGACTTTTCTGGAGCAGCTAACCTCGGCCTTCAGAGGCAGTAGCTCCTGTATGTCCAGCCTCCGGTAGGACTCGCCCCGCGGGAGCGGCTTTCCTGGAGTGAAGGAAATGAAAGGCCTTCTCGTCCCTAAAATAGGGCCGCGTGTCCCTGGTATCACAGCATGCAGACAAATTAGAGAATAAGAAGAAATTCTTTCCCCGCTGAATAGTGCCCTCCCACGCGCGAGGAGCTCAGCACGCGTTTGTTTCTTCAACTGAATAAGTTGAACCCTGGGGTCGAACTTCTCGGAAGAGATCTTGGGGCGTCAGCTCTGTTCTCAGCAGCAAACCAGCTGGCTGAGTGGGAGGAAGGTTCAGGAGCTCCCACCTCCCACCCCCATCTCACCAGCCTCACAGTCCCTCTCCACGTGGACAGGGGGCCCCTTTCAGGGTGGGGCTTGGCAGAGCTCCCCCAGGCTCTCTGCCCAGAGAGTAGCTGTGGCCACTGATAAATACACACATCTTGTGAGCAAGCTTGGGGTCCACCCTCTCCAGAGTCCCAAGAGCGACCTCAGAGCCCAGGCTGCCCCCAGCTTGCCCGGGACAGCCTTGCTCTAGGACAGTGATGGCGAACCTATGACACGCGTGTCAGAGGTGACACGCGAACTCATTTTTTTGGTTGATTTTTCTTTGTTAAATGGCATTTAAATATATAAAATAAATATCAAAAATATAAGTCTTTGTTTTACTATGGTTGCAAATATCAAAAAATTTCTATATGTGACATGGCACCAGAGTTAAGTTAGGGTTTTTCAAAATGCTGACACGCCGAACTCAGAGGTTCGCCATCACTGCTCTAGGAGGACCCCTCTCGCCTCCATTCTCCCAAGACGTTAGCCTCCACCACAAGAAGTGTTTACAGCTAAGTGACTTCATTAGCATGAGATTGAATGACTAGTTCTGGAAAGTAGAGCTGTTTTGCTTGAAAACCTTGCTGCTTTACGCCTCCCTTGCCATCACTAAGCCGTGTGCGTGGTGCAGGAAGGACGCATGGCTGCATGTGAAGTGGCTCTCGGTTGTTTGACACGCCAGGCAGCGATCAGGAACCGTGGGCGTTCTTTCTAGCAGAAGAGTGAGAGGCAGGCGGGGAAACGCCCACCGTGTGTCCTCCCCTAGCCCTCGGTGCCTGGTGTGGTCCCAGTCCTTACTTCCCGTCACAGATGACAGGCTGAGTCACTTTTCCAAAGTCTCATGGCCACCAGCAGATGGAGCCTGGACTGGAACTCAGATCTTTCCAACTTCCCTCAGCCCCTTGTGCATCATACTAACTCCCAAACACAGGCAGCTCCAGGGCGGCACGCGGACCATCGAGACAGTTTCTGCCTAGGAGTTGGGGCAGCTTGGGCTGGCAGTAAGCTCAGAACACTCTGCCTTATCTCTGCACCCTGCACCAGGATGCGGGTGACAGGAACTGGCAGGACTTGTCTGCCGGAGGAAGTCTCCTCTCTCATATCCTCAAACCCAAAGGCGACGTCTTCTGCCTTAAGGTGCAGGTTAGGTGTTTTCCTTTATTTTGCACAGTAAAGCTACAAGAGGAGGCTAGTGATGCTGTACATTTCTCGTATGTCCCGTATGGCCACGGTTCTTACAGACCATTGTCGGTGCACCTGAGACACCGTCTTGCCTGTGAGTGTGTTTGTGACCAAATGAGATTTTTCATTCAACAAGTATTTTCTGAGTGCACGCTGCATGCCAGGCCTTACCTGGTCCCTGGCACTCAGAATGAGATCAATGCCGTCCTCACCCTCAGGGAATCCCATCTGCTGGGAAAACAGGCCCCTGAAGAGCTGGTGTTTGAGATGGCGATGGCGAGCACCCCAGCGCTCTGGCCCCTGTAATGTGCGTGGGGTAACGCCTGCGGGTGTCCCGGTGGGTGCCCTGTGTCTGTGTCGGGAAGCGCCCCCTGCAGGGCTGCTCCTCTGGCCGGGCCAAGCCTGCTGGACGCCCGTGATCCCACCCTGCCGTGCTCGAGAGGAAAGTAAGAATTTGAAAACAACAGCAACAAGGACACATGAAACGTGTCTAGGATGAGGACAAACGTGACCACAAATCAAAGTTGAGAGGGTGTGGTCCCCAGATAAGCTGCCGGCGTTTTCCTTTCCCGGGAGAGGGTTTAGGTAGGGGACAGGCAGATCGATGCCTGTCTTTTGTCTGAACCTGAACTCTTACTGTGCTTCCACTTGGGAAGAAGGCAGGGAAGCCAGCATTCCCCTTGCCCAGCGCCGGGCCCGTGTCTGCTCTCCGGGCTCCGTGCGGGGCCGGGAGGCGGCTCACGTTCTCAGACGTTCTTTCCACAGCAGTGAGGCGGCCCTCTGCACCCACCAGGCGCGACTCCACGCCACGTCCACAGGGGCTTTGTGTCACTTCCTCCTTACTAACCAGGCGTTCTGTGTTCTTCTGACGTGATGACGAATGTTTTCACTCTTAGTGGGCATTCACTCAGTGGGAAGCCTGCTCCATGCTCACCTCTCCTCTGCATTGCACGGGGCTGCCTCTCAGCTAACAGCCCTGGATGGGGCCTCCGTCCTCTGTGCATCTCTGCTAACCTGTCCCTTTCTCTCTGCCTGCCTGCGGCCCACCGGGCTGTGCACACAGCCCTCGGAGCACAGCGGCCACCTCAACTCCAGCTCCCGCGCCTCCTCCAGAGCCAGCTCAGCGCGGGCCAGCCCAGTGGTGAGTGTGCCTCTGTCTGCTGCCTCTCTCCCTCCTCACCTGTCTGTCCTCTGTCCGCCTCCACAAGCCTGGACGCAGGAGAAAGTAGCAAGGCCTCTCCTTAATCTGTTATGTCTAAGTACAAACACAAGTGGGGGGCGGGGGGGCGCTACCCAGTTTGGAGTATTACTATTTGGTGATCCCGGAATTGCATTGCGGAGTTTCTAAAGGACCGGGTGAGGGCTGTTTAAACAGCGGGGCTGGGAGATGGATCTTACTGGGAAGAGGGAGCTTTGAACAGTGGGGGGAGTGTAGTCATGTGCATCAATGTGTTGTTTTTTATGATTTGAAAACTGAAAGGATTGACTTAACATTCTGTTTGACATGTTACTTGTTCGACCCGGGGCGGTTTTTACACGCGGTGTGGGCCCGACAGCCCGTGGCATCCCTAGCTGTGCTCGGTCCCCACCACCCGCCACCCCCGGGGTCTCAACCTCTTCAGTGTGTGCGACACCACAGGATGCACTCCTGTGGGTCACTCGGCATGGAATGGCCTGTGTTTTGCTTCGGAAAATAAGGGGCCCTACTATCTAGTCCCCATCCTTTGAGTGTCTTTATTACGTGTTTCCTGGAGTCTTTGGAATATTAGGCACTTTCACTCATCGGATGCTCTGTATGTGGCTGCTACACGTTCTTTGAACAATAAGGGATTTACAGGGCGGTTTTGCCCCGGGGACTCCTGGGGATGGGGGAGACTGGCCGTGACCAGGGGAGGGGTGCTCAGTGAGCAGGAGCGGGGCCACAGTAAACCCTGGACACAGGAAAGAAAGCTGGGCAGCGTGGGTCCGTTTTCTCCACTCCTCCATCATGGAGACGCTCGAGTGTGGTTCTGAACTCAGGCCGTGCTCCTGGCAATCCAAGAAGAGGCCTGGAGCTGAGCTCTCCGTGGCACACGTGGCCCACGAGCACTGGTGGCTTGTATGTTCTTTAAATTAGGTGCAGTCTTTTAAAGTCACGAGGGTCCCTACCAAATGCAGATGTCAGCTGCTTCTGGGGAAGCAGACAAAGGGACCCCTGGAGACTGGGCTCATATTGCTGAATGGGGTGGGTGGGCGGCCTTGGTGCTCCCTCCCTGGGTCCTGCCTCCGTGCCAGTCACCTCTGGGCTTGCACTGGTGTGTTCCTGGTAGTGGAGAAATGTCCCTCTCCACCACTTACCTGGTGAGGGTGAGAAAACAGCAGATGGGTCAAGGCAGTGGGTGGTAGAACAGAAGATGTCCCTAGCGTGGGCTGCAGGCACCACCTCTGTGCCCGTGTCACCTGCCCACCCACCCTCACCGCCACTGGAGCCTCCCACCCCGTCCTGGAGACCAGGCGTGAGGGGACCAGGAGAAGCCGCGTCCTGAACGCACTCGGCCGGGCGGTAAGGACACCCCTCCAGGCCAGGTGCTCATCACTCGCCAGCACCCATCGGGCAGGAAGAGCGAGATACTCAGCTGTTCAAGATCATGTAACTTCCGTTTTTAGAATCTGGCAAATCTGCTTCTTACGGATGTTGCAAAATGACCAAAGGGCACTATTTTCGAACTCAAATTCCTGCTGACTGAGGCCAGCACACCTGCCAGCCCCCAGGGCGAGCCTCCTCCCAGCTCAGCTCTTCCCTAGGTTTTCACACATCAACTCACCTATGTGAAACCTTCCAACTCCTCGGAAGAAACATTCTCCATGGAAGTTAATGGCAAGCCAATCCTCCTTTTGGAAAGAAGTAGTCACAGTTGACCAGCGAAGTCTGTGGCTCCACTTGCAAAGGGCCCTGGCCCCTGAGCACACGGAATTGTAAAGCCTGTGATTATCTGATGTTCAGGTTTATTCAGGCATCGTGATGACGCCACAGAATAACAGGCTCAACCCAGTCAGACTGAAGAGACTGAAATCAGATACAGATTTCTTTGTCAGAAGCTTCTAAATTGTGACAAATTTACTCCCATAACACGGTTCTGCGGATGACCATAAGCCGAGGGGAGCGTGTAATGTGCCTGGTGTCCCTGGGGTCTGGTGACCAGAACTGGGTGTCCCTGCAACTGAGGCCCAGTGAGGTCCCCAACCTTGGGAGCTGTGGGTGGGGTCGCAGCTTTTTCTGCAGGTGCCATCAGGGAACGAAGCACAATGGGTGGAGGGCCCTCACCGTTCTAAATCTCTCCTTTTAACTGAGGGTCTAGCTGAGGAGACTTCAGACTGCACTGGCCCCTTCCGCCAGTTCCAAAACTCACGGCCGGGCGACCAGTTGTTTCTTGAGAGGGACTGTGCAGTGACATTGTTTCTGTGACCCCGTGGCCCATTCAGGGTCGGGGTGCTGGCTGGGGGGAGGGGGAGGTTTGGGGACACCATGAGGAAAAGTCCTTTGTGCCTGGCCCCTGTGCCTGTGCTGGGGTCTCTCTGTGCCCACAGACTGTACTCTGTGTCTAGGGAGGTAGGCAGGCCAGATGGTGTATGGAGACCCTGAAATTTTACACCTCACCAGACGCTGTGGTTAAGTGAGTCTGCATAGTAAACTCATTTATAGGATGTTAGAAGGCTGGAGTTAAATATTTAATGTACTGCTTTAAGCATTTGTTTTTCAAAGGAAGAGTTGCCATAATTTAAAATTTCACAGAAGTATTTTTAGAAGTGACTCTTTCCAGTAGATTTTTAACAGCTGTTTTTGTATGCACCCAGTTGTGGCTGAGATCCTGCTGTACGTCGTTCCTAAACCTGTTCCTATGAGGTGGTCACACTGACCTACAGTGTTTAGTATTGCTCAGGAAATGAAAGTCATGAATGCAATAGGCTGCAAGATATGTGGCCGCTGTCGCCCTTCCACGAATGAGGACCCTGGTGTCCGCAGACGTCCATGCTGGTGTGGCCGGCGTGTCCCTGGTCTCACTGTGCTCATGTCCACACCATGTCGTTGGGTTCCGTTCATCCCTCTGGGCAGCAGCCACCACAGTGTTCCTCTGTTTTGACTCTTTTTTTTAAAAAACTTATTTATTTTAATATATTTTATTGGTTTTTCACAGAGAGGAAGGGAGAGGGATAGAGAGTTAGAAACATTGATGAGAGAGAAAGATCCATCAGCTGCCTCCTGCACGCCCTCCTCCTGCATGCCCTTGACCGGAATCGAACCTGGGACCTTTCAGTCCGCAGACCGGCACTCTATCCACTGAGCCAAACCGTTTCGGCTGTTTTGACTCTTTGTATATTATTTCCAGAGATAAACTGCTATGCTTTGTGTCAAAATTAAACACACCATCTGGGTTACGTTGTTTGGGGGAGAAAGGAAGGGACTGCTTTATTAAAGTGGGTACAGCTGCCTGACAGCTTGGCGCACTGCCATCTAGTGGGAGCCCGGGGCACTGCAACAGCTTCATGCTGCTCTGTCCATTTCCCCGGGGTCTCCAGGTTCTTGTGTCTCAGGAAGGCGGGCAAATACCACCTGTCCCTTGTCACTCGGAAAGCAGACAGAACACATTTACTCTAATATGTAGAATAGAGATTGGCAGCAACAGTTAGGCATAGGTTGGCTATAACTTCCCTTGAGAGCGTCATTTTTCTACGTGGTCTCTATTAAAAACATATCAGTGTTCACATTCTGAGTCCATTACACATTTCAGAGCAAAGGCTTTTTTAAAACTAGTTTAAACTTGTTTTAAAATTAAAGAGAAAACTATGATTTTAGGGGTTTTTTTTTCTTCCTCATTTGATCTTTTTCGAATTACAAACACAATATTTGCGTTTTGGGTACAGGTGAAATGACGCAGAGCAAAGCTGGCCTAAAGTCCCCATGTGACCAATACTTTTGCTCTGTGTGTGTTCTTTCTTATCTTTCTCGCAAGAAATACTAAAAAAATAAAATGTGGAGTCCTTTTATAGGGACAGATAGCTTTGTAGGTGAACGTAGGATTTCTGGGGCTTCACTTAGCTACACAGTCTTTATCTATTGCTGATGACCAGTCAGAAAAGCTACCATTTAAACCACGAAGCTAAGAAGCAGCGAGCTTCTCCAGATAGCTTGACGGTCTATTAAATGGGGCCTCCTTCTTCCACTAAGAGTTAAGTTACTCTTTTTATTTTCACCTCATTATTGTTTGTTCTGCAAATTAGCTTATTTGGGGGATTGAAGGCCTTGGGCCCAGCTGGTTTAATGAATTGATTTCCAGCAGACCAGGTGCTTGACAGTTAGCTTCTCCTTGGTTATTTGAAATGTTTTTCTTTATTGTTGAAAGTATTACAGATGTCCCCTTTGTTTGTTTTTCCCATTGACCCCCCTCCACCCCACAGCCGCCTACTTATTTATTTTTTAAACAGGGGACGACAGGATCATACCTGTACTTTTAACCCCAACGGCCGTGGTAGAGGTGAACCCCAGGTCAGGCCTTCACCACTCTATTGTCTATGTCCATGTATGCGTATAAGTTCCCCAGTTAATCACTGCCCACCCACACACCCACCCCCGCCTTTCCTCTGAAATTCGTCAGTCTTTTGAAATTTTCAGGAATGTTATTCCCAAGTGGAGAGAAGACCCACCCCTTAAGGGCTAAAGTCATCACAGCGCAGAACTTGGGTGCAGGGTGGTGATGTAGACCCCTCTCGATCGAGGCCACCTCGATTCCCAGAACATCTAGTCAGGCCGAGGTGGCACGCACATCTGAAAACATAATAGTTCTAGATGTGCACTCGTACACGTACAGGTGGTGTGGAACGCAGCTGGAATGTCAGAGCTCCATAATGGGATGTAACTGCCAAGTTGAGGAGCGAAAAGGGCGCCTGCGGGCGAAAGTTCTGGAAAGCTCCCACGAGACACTGTTTTGCCCTGGTCTCTGGAGGACAGCCGGCTGTGGGCACAGGAAGGAGAGTGCTCTGGCACAGGGAGCGCCAGGATCTGAAGCCCCACCCCAGGGCGTGAGGCCAGCCCGCCCACGGTACCGCCCCCTGGCCTGAGGGACATGGTCCCTGCTCTTGTTTCCCCTCCTGCTCTTCCGACACTCAGGAGACTCAGAGGGGAGCAGAGTTCCTCCTGGAGGCCCAGGTGTGGGCGGGCAGGTGACAGCAGGTGCTCTGGGAGCCAGATCCCGGGGTGAACTTGGGTCTGTCCAGCTTGGCCATTCTGAGCTGAGAACTGGTTTGGAATTGCCTCCTTTAGGAAAGACCGAGCATGTTGTCAGGTTTCATTCACCCCCTTGGTTGGTGATTAGCTGTCACGCTTTGCTGTGTCATTTTACTGGTCCATTCAGGCATCCTCCTCTCAGAGAGCAAGTTGAGGTGCAGGTTTGGAGGAGAGAAGGTGGCAGGTGGTGAGCCTTCTTGGTGGGGGACAGGCTAGTGAGGGCCTGCAGCCCAGCGTGGGCCCAGGGCGCACACAGGACGGGCAGTGGCCATGTTTGCAGGGCGTCACTGCCTTGACATCCTGACCAGTGTTTAGCAGCTGCACCCAAATGCTGCCCCATGGACAGCGTCACTGTCACAGTTCCTGTGTTCACGAGCCGCTCCCCATGGCCTGGGCCCCAGCTCCGTGGGGAGGTCTCGGCCCAGAGTCTGGACCGGCTGTGGGGCACGCATGCAGAGGTCCGAGGGTCCCCAGTCACCGATGAGGCTGACTGGCTCAGGCGTGCTCCACACTCACCAGTTGGTCGCAGTGGACCCCAGGCCTCGAATGGAAGAAGCTCTGAGCTTCCGGAGGCAGATTGGAGACACGACGGGGAAAGCATGATGAGTGGCGGCTTTCCCCGGGGAGTTTGGAGACGCTGAGCACAGGGTCTCCTCATCCTCTGTGACCTTCCAGTGGGCTATGGAGGGGAGCCCTCTGTGACCTCCCAGTGGGCTATGCAGAGGAGCCCTCTGTGACCTCCCAGTGGGCTATGCAGAGGAGCCCTCTGTGACCTCCCAGTGGGCTATGCAGAGGAGCCCTCTGTGACCTCCCAGTGGGCTATGCAGAGGAGCCCTCTGTGACCTCCCAGTGGGCTATGCAGAGGAGCCCTCTGTGACCTCCCAGTGGGCTATGCAGAGGAGCCCTCTGTGACCTCCCAGTGGGCTATGCAGAGGAGCCCTCTGTGACCTCCCAGTGGGCTATGCAGAGGAGCCCTCTGTGACCTCCCAGTGGGCTATGCAGAGGAGCCCTCTGTGACCTCCCAGTGGGCTATGCAGAGGAGCCCTCTGTGACCTCCCAGTGGGCTATGCAGAGGAGCCCTCTGTGACCTCCCAGTGGGCTATGCAGAGGAGCCCTCTGTGTACCAAAAAAGGGGAAAAGGAAAAGAAACGTTTCTTTTGTTGGACACTGAGCAGAGAAAGAAGTAGTGCCATTGTCAGCGTGGCCCCTTCCCTGAGACCTCTCGAGGCGAAGGGTGGCCGGGTCGCTGTTCATGCAGCCGCGTGGCTGCTCTCGTCCCATCCCACCGGGACGCCTACCTGCCGAAGGGAGAAGACGGGCCTCGGAACCACATGCAAACAGCAAAGCTGAGAAAAGGCAAATGCTTGGGGCCCCACTTTTCACCTGGCAAAGTCTCCTGTACCTTCAGCCCCCGTCTCCCGCGCCCCCCAACCAGCCTCCCACGTCTGGCACTCACCTCCAGATGTTTGAACCAGAAGGTTCACACTGACCCAGTCACTCGTGAGAAGAAGAAACGGTTACAGCTGGCTCGCTGCTTTCTCTTGCTTCAGAGGCCACGCTCAGTGAGAGTGGAAATGAACACTCCGAGGTTGCACCTTCCAGCCCCAGGACCCCCTGTGGTCTCGCTGTCTAGTCACAGTGGCTGCAGAGGGTAGACAGGTGTGGGGCGTGCGGTCCCCTCCTGTGTGGACACAGACCTGCACACCGAGCTGCAGGAATAGGAAAGTAAACGGGTTCAACCGCGTCCCTGAGCAAGCGCCTCACCGTGGGCCTTCCTGCGATCACTGTGTGGTTTCGACGTCATGACGTTCCAGTGGAAACCGTAACAGTTGAGAAGCCTGGCTCTCTGAGCCGCTGTGGGCAGTTGTCTGTGTCACCTGGCAGAGGCAGGCATATCAGAGGGTCTCATGGGCAAAGTGGTTTTTAAACTACAAAGGGAACTATTGTGTTATCTTATCATCATCTTACCCTGCATCTCGATTACCCATTTAAAGCCTATGTTTAATATTTGTGCATTTTCCTCTCCAGGTTGAAGAGAGACCAGAAAAAGATTTCACTGAGAAGGTGAGGAATTTCTTTAAGCCTTTATATTATGTCATTAATGAACCTAGTGGGTCCCAAAATGTATGGGTAAAACGAACAAGAAAATATGTTGCTTATCATCTTACCCTGCATCTCAATTATCCATGTAAAGCCTATGTTTAATATTTGTGCATTTTCCTCTCCAGGTTGAAGAGAGACCAGAAAAAGATTTCACTGAGAAGGTGAGGAATTTCTTTAAGCCTTTATATTATGTCATTAATGAACCTAGTGGGTCCCAAAATGTATGGGTAAAACGAACAAGAAAATATGTTGCTTGATCTTTAATAAAGATCTTCACCAGTGAGTGAACAGGACAGTGTGTGGGCCACCAGCCAGCGTCACAGCCTTGGGGGAGGGGTCCCCGGGGGTCACTTCCAGTTTGTGCGTTAAACCCTCAGAACAGTGACGGATGGTAGGGTGAATGCAAGTTCCCGGCACCATGGGCCCCTCCGTGTGCAGCTGTCTGTATTGGCTTCCGCAAGCCCACGGAAGGTGTTCCAAGTGGGAAACTGAATTCCAGTGAAGGTCCCATGCAGGTAATTTGGGTTTTGTCTAAAATCGTGTCTGATTCTTGCCATGCTCTAGGGGTCTCGTAACCTGCCCGGCCTGTCTGCAGCCACACTGGCCTCGCTGGGTGGCACCTCCTCCCGGAGGGGGAGCGGGGACACCTCCATCTCCATCGACACCGAGGCATCCATTAGAGAGATCAAGGTAAAGCTCTACTAATGACCCTTTATTCAAATCTGTCTCCAAGGGGAAAAAAGACTTAATTACTAAAGTGCCAGATGTTTCTTCTCAGTCCTGTCTCCTCTGCCTCCATAAACAGGTGTTCTAGTAACACCAAGACCCAGCGCAGACCTGGTCGCCCCAGGCGGCCGTCCCTGTCTGCCCCACCCCAGCAGGGCCCACCTGCACCCGGGCCTCTGCTCCCCCTCAGCTCTGGGGCACACCTGTGCCAGCACTCACCATGCCACACAGAGGTGCTGGGCCACTCTGTCCGCCTGCCCTCTGCACACCTCTGCCCGTTCCTTCTGTGTCACACACCTTCAGGAGACCTCGCCGCGCTGTTTGAGTGGCTTTTTCTTCTTCCGCTGGGATGTGGACACTGTTCTCTGTACCATCCTCAACACTGGGTGTGAGACGGGAATGCAGTGCTGTTGTTAAAGTACCTGCATCTGAAAGGAGCCCACGCAGAGGGCAGGTGTGTCCTCCGAGAGCAGAGGAGGAGCTCCGAGCTTCAGATTTGGCTTCATCTATGGAAGCGCTTTCTAATAATTAAACTGCATAAAAGAGAACCAGCTGCCACGGGGGCTTTCTGAACCGCTGGGGACCCATTTGCCAGGGAGGCCAGAGAAGAGATTTAAGTCTCAGCAGGGGTGGACCAGGTCCCTCGAAGGTGCCTGGCGAGGCCTGTGCTTCATAAGAGTATCTTTTTACTGTTCTTCCTAACATGTGCCCTGGGCCACCCCCGGGCCGCCTGCAGCTCTGTTCATTCCTGTACTCCACTGATGTCATATTTGCTGTTTGCTGCGATCCGGATTTGTCTGTGCCCCCAGGTTGTGAGCACCAGTCATTTGTTCAACAAGTGCTTATGGAGCGTCGGGCTCCCACAGATGCCAGGCACAGGGATGTGGTGGTGAAGGGCCCGGGGCTCTGTGATGCAGGGCACAGCCATGCTGACTTCTGTCTCTGGTGTCGCACTGTATCCAGCACAGAGTAGAACTCTAGGAGCTGGAGTGAACCCTTAACCACAAGGAATATTTCTTGTTCCATTTTCTGAATCCCTTTTGCCTGTTTTACAAAATTATGCAAATATACCATATGAGATAGACCTTAATTTTATAAAATCTTGTGAAAATATCATGAGACACACCTGAATTTTAATATTTGTAACATGGAAATTTCTTTTATTTTTCTCCAACACTTAAAAAAAACAACAACAAAGAAGGGCCTAGCTCAGTGATGGTGAACCTTTTGAGTCGGCGTGTCAGCATTTTGAAAAACCCTAACTTAACTCTGGTGCCATGTCACATACAGAAATTTTTTGATATTTGCAACCATAGTAAAACAAAGACTTATATTTTTGATATTTATTTTATATATTTAAATGCCATTTAACAAAGAAAAATCAACCAAAAAAGTGAGTTCGCGTGTCACCTCTGACACGCGTGTCATAGGTTCGCCATCACTGGCCTAGCTGGTGTGGCTCATGGTTGAGCATCGACCCATGAACTAAGAGGTCCCTGGTTCGATTCCCAGTCAGGGCACATGCCCAGATTGTGGGCTTGATCCCCAGTCGGGGCCGTGCAGGAGGCAGCCAATCGATGTCTCTCTCTCATCAACGTTCCTATCTCTCTGTTCCTCTCCCTTTCTCGCTCTCTAAAATCAATGAAAACATTGGGGGAGAGGGAGCAGGGGGAAAGGAGAAAGAAGTCACTGCTCAGACTGTTAGAGGAGGCCGCCCAGAAGCGGGAAGCTCTTGCCTCTGTCTTTGTGGTCTTGTCCACCTCTCCCTTGACATCACTTGCCTTTCTTGCCATCCCCCCAGGAGCTCAGTGAGTTAAAGGACCAGATTCAGGATGTGGAAGGCAAATATATGCAGGGACTGAAACAGATGAAGGTACCAGTGGATGGAGTGTGGGCTCATGACATTAACCTAGCTTAACCTAAAAACATCCTAAAGGAGACGTTCAAAGCGCGTGCTAACCCTACTGACGCCCCAGGCTCCAAATGGGGAGAGCTACATGGTGTGTGCACGCAGCATGTCTTTGTGAAGCCTTTGAGCCAAGAAAAAGCTACTAACACATTTCCTGATTCACGTCTTGTCCTCACGCAGCCCTCCTCCCCGGCTGAAAACCAGGAGCAAGCAGACAGGCGAAGAAGGGTTTTTTGTTTCCTTCGCTTTCCATAGCGGTTACGTACAACACCGCCTTACTTCATCTGCCTCGCCACATATCTGATGTCCGCAGTAACACAGTCCCTGTGGCCATGCTTGGAAACACCCGAGTCATTTGCATGTTGTAACACTGTACTGATTGGAGCAGTGTCTGAAAGCGACTCATGTTGGGTTTATTTGCGTATTAGGGCGTGGAATCGCTCTGTTGTTCCAACCAGGACATTTAGTTGTCATTCCTGGAACAGTCAGGGCCTGTGTCCTGTCTTTGTTAGGCAGCCATGGCAGACCACGATCTCACAATAGAAGGTAAACCTGCCACTTCCCCGAGCTCCCCAGAAAGGACCCCCCAGTATCGCAGGGGCATCAGAGCAGAGGTGACAAATCACATAACTAATCACTTTCATATTTGTCACCTCTTTTTAAAAAGAAAAATTAAGACCCTGGCCTTTAACTCATAAGAAGGGAGCCAGTGAGGCAGCCCAGGAATCACTGGTCCCACCCAAAACCATTGCCCTGGTTTGTGAGTGCAGGTGAGACCAGCACTGGCCCCTGACAGCTGACCAAGCAGCGCCAGCCTTCTTCAGCTTTAGGTGGCTTATAGCCGGGCACTCTGCTCTCGCTCCCGAAGTCGCCTTGCCCTGCTCTCTGTTTTGGGAGCTAAATGCCACTGTGCTCTCCCGGTTGCCTGCCCTCCGAGGGCGGGAGCCACGTGAGGGCCCTGCGTACTCTTCCCTGGGCGGTCCTCTCACAGATGGCCTTGTCTTTCCAGGGCCCACCCACTGAGGCCTGTGTGCCTGGTGTAGTTTTCCTGTGGGTTGAGAATCTGAAATTCCACTTCATCCTTTCCTGGTTCATGGGTACAGACCGGGATCTCTGGTAGCTCAAGGCAGGGGTTTGCTTCTCTCAGAGAAGCTGGCACGGTCCCCAGTTCTCGCCACGTCACTTGAACGATGACTTCAGAAACCTGTTGAACCGCCTGACCCACTCCAGGCAGCTGCTGCATCATGGGGTTGGGACTCACTGCCTGTGACCAGACCCTCTCCATCGGGCGTCTCCCTGGTCCTGTGACTGTGTAAACCATCTTCATCCCTGGGCACAGCTAACAACTAACTTCCTGAGTGACGAGAATTTGATCACATTAAAAGGGAGGCATTTCTATGCATTTGAAATCGCCGTGTGTTTCCTGTTTTGATCCATTTGCTCTAAGAAAGTCTAAATTTAGGGCTGAGTTGTTTGTTTTTAAGAATGCCGGACTAAACTTTGTTTTTTTGTTTTCTTACTATAATTTCAACAATATGGCCTGGCTTCTGCAGGACTCTCTAGCAGAAGTGGAAGAGAAGTATAAGAAGGCGATGGTTTCCAACGCCCAGCTGGACAATGAGAAGATGAACTACATGTACCAGGTCGATACCCTGAAGGACACGCTGCTGGAGCTGGAGGAACAGCTGGCGGAGTCTAGGCGGCAGTATGAGGAGAAAAGCAAAGTAAGCTTCAGTGTAGTGAGAACGGTAGAACAGATACGTAAATGTGTGTACTTGGTATGCAGTGTGTCGGTGTGGGTGTGTGTGTGTGTGGGGGGTGTTTTCCAGGTTCCATAAAAGTCTGAGTTTTCTTTTTAATAATTTTTTTTCATTTTCAATGCATGTGTGTGTGTGTTTACTTTATTTTTTTATTGATTTTAGAGAGAGAGGATGGGAGAGGGAGAGAAACATCAATTGGCTGTCTCCTGCACACCCCCTACTGGGGATCAAGTCCACAACCTAGGCATGTGCCCTACTGGGAATCAAACAGAGAACAGAGAGCCATGTTGTCAGGTCTCTGGAGTGAGTCTTGTAGAGGGGAGGGTCCGAGGCGGGGGAAAAGGGGAGGGTCAGAGGCGGGGGAAAGGGGGGAGGGGGGGCGCGGCCAAGCTCTTCTGCTGCCCCCACCTTTTCTGTTTGGTCCCTGGAGGGCAGAGTTGGTCAGCCTCTGTTAAAGAGATAGGCTGACCAAAGTAGGCATATTTCGCCCCCTTTTTAACCCAAAGGGTATTCCCTGTCATATTTCAAAGTTAGGGATACTTTTAGTATAAATCCTTTGCAAAGCTGGGTCCTCACTGGGGCCCTCAGCACAGCCAGCTCCATGCACGACAGCAGTCACCTTCACGGAGACCCTTCCTAGGGCATTACCTCCTAGAGAGGAGCCAGGAAACGCTGTCCGTTCCATCAGCTGCTCTAATTTTACAGTAAACCACAGGGTGTCTTCTAGAAAGTCCAGAGAAATGGGTTCATGGTGTTCAAAAGGCCTTGGACACTGTGCTGACGTGGTCCCAGGTCATGCGTTCCGAGGCAGAGGTAAGTCGAGGGGGCGTGAACTCGACCATCGGGAAACCGTGGCTCCCCCGCCTGATGCCCTGCTCCTCGTCCACAGGAATTCGAGCGGGAGAAGCACACCCACAGCCTGCTGCAGTTTCAGTTCGCCCAAGTGAAAGCCGCCCTGCAGCAGAGAGAGGAGATGCTCGAGGTGGGTAGCTGCTCCCCATTCTGCTCTTCTTGTGTGACTCAGGAGCATTTTGTTGGCTCATTACTAAAGCCACGGGTTTTCTGGGAAATCGAGGGCTTAGGCTCATTCTCTGTGCCTCATTGATGGCGTCCTGTTCCTCTCATTCCTGGGCGGTCCTGTGTGTGTGTGAGGGAGGAGGTGGGGCAGACAGAGTAATGCCTGCGTCCTAATCCTGGGACCTGTGAAAATGTCACCTTCCACGGCAGAGGGGACCTTGTGGTGGGAGATTATCCTGGGTTTTCTGGTGTGTCACAGGGTCCTTACAGAAGGGTGGCAGGAAGGTCAAAGGAAGTAGGGGGTGACGTGAGGAGAGGCCCTGAGCCAAGGAATTGGGAGCCTCTAGAACAGCGGTTCTCAACCTGTGGGTCGCGACCCCTTTGGGGGTCAAAGGACCCTTTCACAGGGGTCACCTAAGACCATTGGAAAACACATATAATTACATATTGTTTTTGTGATTAATCACTATGCTTTAATTATGTTCAATTTGTAACAATGAAATTGGGGGTCACCACACATGAGGAACTGTATTAAAGGATCACGGCATTAGGAAGGTTGAGAACCACTGCTCTAGAAGCTAAGAGAAGGGAGGAAGTGGATTCTCTCCTGGAGCCTCCAGAAAAGAACCCAGGCCTGCCCACCCCATGGCCTCAGCCTGTAAGACTCATTTTGGACCTGAGCTTCAGCACTGTTAGAATACATTCTTAATATATTTTGTATTGTTTTCAGAGATGGAGAAAGAGAGAGAAACATCAATGATGAGAGAGCGTCATTGATCGGCTGCCTCCTGCATGCCCCCTGCTGGGAATAAAGCCTGCAACCCTGGCATGTGCCCTGACGGGGAATCGAACCGTAACCTCCTGGTTCATAGGTTGGTGCTCAACCACTGAACCACGCTGGCTGGGCCATATGTGTGGTTCGAAGCCACTGAATTTGTGCTAATTTGTTACAGTGCCACTAGGAAACATACAGGGTTGATATTTACCTTTTGAGCTTGATCAGAACTTCAGTGCCTCTCAGTAAGAAATTCCCCCAGACGGGTTTCTTCCTGCGCTTTGGGACGCTGGGTGCAGAACCGGAGCCCTGCTGGCCTTCGAGAATGAGCTCGGGATTAGCAAGAAGCTGCCTCTTCCTCCCTGTGTTTGCTGGCTCCTGGTGACTCTCTGCAGGTCCACACTGAAATTCCTTCCTGTTTAACCCTTTATCTGTCTCTTCCTCTCTGTTCCTGCTCTTCAGGAAATCCGACAGCTGCAGCAGAAACAGGCGAGTTATATCAGGGAGATTTCTGATCTTCAGGAGACGATAGAGTGGAAAGACAAAAAGATAGGGGTAGGGCTCTCAAATCTTTGAAAATCTGTTCAAACAGTTTGTCTGCTTAGCAAATGTGCTGCTTTTAGGATCGTTGGTGTGCTTGGATGTGTATGCATGCAGCCCCACGTGATGCAAACTCAGTCATGCAGCAAATACGAACTCACCCAAATTGATAGTGACTCCGGGCGGAAGTTGGCTTCCCACATGAACAGTCTCACTCTCTCAGCATGAGCCGGCTCTGCCTGCCCCTCCAGCAGCCAGGGACTGACGGAGGGAGACACTCCATGAGGGGGCACTCGGGCACTCTCGTGTGCGCATTTCCCCGCTCGTCTTGGGGCGTTTTCTCAAGGGGTCTGAGGAAGCTGTAAGGTGGCAAGTGCTTGAAATCTCCCCAGAGGGTCCTCAGACCGTCTCCTTCCCCAAGAACAGAACAAGCAGCCCACCTGCCTGCAGGTGTGACAGGGGGGAAGGATGGGACCACTCACAGCACCTGCTGTGGCCCGTCATACCACATAGGTCTGGTGACGGTCCCCCAACGCTCAAGCGAGTCATCAGAGCATTGACAGTGTGACGCCACGCCTGTCTTCACTCTGATACGCTGTGCACGTGCACGTGTGCACGCATGCTTGTGTGTTTGCTTCAGGACCACTTTGTGTTTGTCTGTGCCAACAGTCGCTGAGAATCCAGGTAGAAAAATAGTCTCAATTGCTAAAATACAGGGTGTCCCCAAAAAATGTATACGCACTTTGAATGATTATAAAATAAGTGTTTTTCAACATACAGTTCATTTCCAAAATTTACAAGAATCTACAGAAATGAATATTTTTTGTCAACTCCTGTTTTCAAACTGATGACCATTCTGGTCCAGGCACTGCTGATAAGGCAAAACAATGGAATCGCAAACATCAAGAATCATTTCGTTTGGTATTTGTGTGCCTTTAATTCGTCGACTGCTGCCAGTTATCATTCATGTATCCCCATTGAAAAAAAGTCTAGTGTCACTTTAGGACCAATTTTCTTTGTTCAAAGCTTAGTCTGGCTTCACCCATTATTTCAAATCAGTTAAGCCTGAAAATTAAGTGTTGTCAGCTATTAAAGTGTGTATATATTTTTGGGGACACCCGATAGTTGTCACTGGAGATTCCTCAGCATTTCCTCCTCTTCTGTATTTATGCCTCATCTAAAAGCCACCGGGCCTCTGATAGTTCTCTGACACGGCTGTGAAACTGGACTGAGCTAGAATGCGATGCAGATGCAGCCCTCCGGTGCCTTTGTTCAGGAGCATGGGCAGCAGCGTTGCTCGGCTGTCGTAACTGGAGGAGAGTTTGTTACTGGCATTTTGTTTGTATCTCTGAGCATGTGATATCTAACGCCCTGACTGTAGCGTCTTACAGAGTAGAAGCCTCTTCCTCACTCTGCTTCTGACGTCACCTGCTTACCTGTGTGAATTTCTCTCTCTTTGCTCCGCTGCACACTCAGGCCTTAGAGAGGCAGAAAGAGTTCTTTGATTCCATCAGGAGTGAACGAGATGATCTTAGAGAAGAAGTAGTCGTGCTGAAAGAGGAACTAAAGGTATGAAGCCCAAGAACAGCTAAAAGAGAAAGTCCCGGTTGCCACAGCGAATGCTGGGGTTCTCAGGAAGGAATGTGTGTGTGCGCGTCGGCGTTAATTCCCTTTATGTCATTGATTGTCGTTCTGTTAACCAATGCAAATCTGAGGTTAACTGACACGAAGAGACGTGTAAAGCGAGTCCAGGTTCTGTGGGGTCTGCCCATGGCCAGATGTTCACAAGCATATCTGAGCTCGAAAGCAACTCTGGTTTCCAAGAACTTTTTTATATACTGTGTCAGTACTTTCCATGCTCATTAATAAGTTCTCCCGGGCCCTTCCCGAAGTTAGAGGGTGCATTTGTTTGTTAAATCAAAGGCTTAACTGTAGGGACTTCTCTAGCTGAACGTAGTGGGGCTAGGCTCATGCCATTTACACTTTGAGGCCCACTGGATTGTAGGAAAGTCATGTTCTGCCTGGGCCGTGTCCAGGGGTCTTCAGCTGCTGGGCGGACACTGAAAAAAAAACACCCAGCCTGCAGCAGTGGGGGTCAGAGCTCTGGGTGGGCTGTGAGCGCTGGAGGGGGCAGTGTTGAGGCAGGGCACGGCCATGGGCTAATTCTTGCATAGTCAACGGAGACATGTCAGTGTGGCTGCTATATCCAAGGCTCAAGGCCAGAGCAGTGAACCAGAAGGCACAGGCTTGAGCTCAGGTTTGGCAGATGGTTCCCCCTGGGCTGTGAGTGCAGAGTTGGGGATCCCTCCCAGGACTCGAGGGAGCTGGGGCAGCAGGGGGGCGGGGGTGAGTCATCCATAGTCAAGGGAGATCCTGGAGTCGTGAGGCACAGCTGGCTTTAAAGTGTTTCACTATGGAGTGAGCGGGAGTTAAATTTCTTTTAAACAATTGATTTTAAAGAGAGGGAGGGAGAGAAAGAGAGAGGGAACAGCAAGAGAGAAACATTGATCGGTTGCCTCCTGCACCAACTCACAACAAACCTGCAACCTGGGCATGTGCCCTGACTGGGGATTGAACCCTGCACTGTGTGTGTGTGTGTGTGTGTGTGTGTGTGTGTGTGCGCGCGCTCTCTCTCTCTCTCTCAGGACAATACTCCAACCAACCGAAT